GATTCCATTTCTCTTTCTAAATATAAATACATCAATATAAAAGAGGGAGGAATGGAAACGGTAAGTGGAAAGAAGAACACTGGTCACGGCGTGGAGAACGTGGGACGTGTCCATCTCTGCTCGAGTGCGTGTGGAGGCTCCACTCCACGCCAGGGCAGAGCCTCCACCTTCCCAGTGCAGAGAGCTGCCATGCTGGAGCCGGCAACACGCAAACAAAGGACAGAATCCACGCGGCTCCACGGCACAGAAATCTCCGTCCTGCTCTGCAGAGAAGGCAGGAAGGAAAAGCCCGCTGAGTTAGGGATGAGCCCAGGCGACGCTGTGCCAGTGTGTCACAGCAGTTGTTCCCATGACACTCACAATGTTTGTGAGGCAGCATGACAGGAGGGCGAATTTGCAGTGGGTGGAGGAGAGGTTTAACAGGCAAGAAACAGACTCAGCCATTTGGGATGCTTTGCTGGGCTTTGTTTATCTAGCTCTGTGACACTTCTCATTAGCTGTCAATTTCATTTGCCAGGGCAGAGATGGAGAAAAATGATTGCTCTTTTTCAGCAAACCCTGGGAAAGCAACACTAGGAAGAGCCCCCCACATTTTGGCTTTACCTCACCCGGCTATCAGCCACACAACAGCTGCGCATTTTAACAATGACTTGATGGAGAGACAATGATTGAGAGAGCAAATCTGTGACGCGTGGAGAGGCAGAAGCAAGATACGGTGGGAGGCAACAGGAGAGAAGTGAGGTCAGAAAACAAGTTAGTCCCGGGAATGAGAGGAAGGAAGGGGGAGAAAAGAAAGCAAAAGGCTACGTACAGAAAAACCAAGGGAAATTCCAAACAGATGTTTCCAAAGCAGCAGTGTGTGTACCTTGCCCCGGGTGGGAAACCATGCAATCTCTCCCCGACATTTTTGTTTCACTGGTACAGACTCAGAAGCAAATGAAGGTAAACTGTGAATTACCTTAGGGCTGAATGTACAGATTAACACAATTCAAACAGGGATTAGAGGTGAAAGGAGGAGGTGAGATGACTAACCGGGCCCACTTGTTCTCCAAGGAAAGGTGTCTTTGCATTTAGGTAAATAGAAAAATTTAAAAAAAAAGAACTCTTTATGATCATTTCTAAAGTGTGGCTTTATTACCTATGACCAAGTTCACACAAATACATTTTTAAAAAAGAAAGAAAAAGGAAAACAGAGGGCATACAGGCCAGAGAGAGGGAAATAGAAGACCATAATTTTTTTTCCAACAAAAAACCTACATGAATTTTTGAGAAATCCTCTTAAAATAACACCATATAAAATTTTTATTAAGTATCTGTCGAAAAATATTCTGATGAGGATGTTGGAATAGACTTAACTGCAGGAACAGAGTAGAGAAATAGGCAGTATCAGGGCTCAGATCATGGACCATGATGACCAAGAGGCCCAGGGCCTGGTGCTGCCGGCTCTGGGGCCCCTTTGTCTGGGTTATAAAGGGCGCCCTTCTCCCAGAATAGCAGCCTGAGTCACTCTACCCCTCGGCCCGTGTCCTGTCCAATGAGCAGCCTGCTCACTGCGGGTGGCAGCCCGGCCAGGGAACCTAGAGGGGGGTATTGATCTTAGCTGGCTGATGTCTCAACACATGCAGAAAGTGTGAGCAATAACCTGGGATTCTGAACTGCATCTATTATTAACTTTCATGATAGACTGCCCGCCTATCACATCACACAGATCAATGTGCCCAAGATCTGAGTGAAGCAGATTTAGATTCTTATCTTCCCTTGGTGTCTGGTCTCCTCATAACCTTCTCAGAACTAAACCCCCAAGAAGAGCAACCGCTGACCTATCTTTTTTTTCCAAGTTAGAAGAAAAACAGATTCAACTTTGTGAAGATATATTATGATTTTATGGCTAGTTCTAGCGTTCCTACTACATAACCTCACTAAACACAGCAAATCATCTCTGGAGACTTTATATACAGGAGTCCCCCTTATTTGCGGCTTCGCCTTCCACGAGTTTTAGTTACCTGTGGTCAACCATGGTTCAAAAATATTAAATAGAAAACTCCATAAACAAACAACCCATAAGTTCTAAACTGCACGCCGTTGTCAGTAGCTAGATGAACTCTCCTGCAAGGTGCTCTGTCCCGCCCGGGACACGAACCTGCAGCTCCTCTGCCCAGCGTCCCCACACCGTAGACACTCCCCACCCATCAGCCACTCTCAGCTGGTTATCACACCAGTCGTCCTGGTATCACGGTGCTTGCCACCCTCATTTTACTTAATAACAGGCCCAAGCGCAAGAGTAGTGACTCTGGCTATTGATAGATGCCAAAGAGAAGCCGCGAGGCTTCCTGTAAGTGAACGGGATGCATGTGTACGCAGGGTTGGCACTATCTGCAGGGGCAGGCACCTGCTGGGGGTCTGGGACACATCTACCCCCCTGGGTAAGGGGCTGCTGTACATCTGAGCTGTACAAGAACAGCACTGGATGAACACTCAGGAGACTGCTGTTCCAGACAGCAATTACCACGGACAAGTCTCTAGACTCAGCTCGAACAGTAACAGCAACCCTAATCACAATTACCAGGCACTGAATGCTCACTGGGTGCCTGCTTTATGTGTGTTATGTACTATTTACAGTAACCCTACGAGATGCGGTTATTATCTTCACAGACGCAGAGACAGACACAGAGAGGTGCAGAGACGTGTCCAAGGTTACACAGCTAGTAAGCGGCTATAAAGTGAGGAGGTAAGAGCAGACGACTATGAAAGTCCATCCAGGTCAAAGGCCATTTGTGATTCCACTTGGGAGAAAGGTGAACAAATGCCCAAACTGCTGATCAGATTTTCCTCTTAAAATAACACTAACATTGAGCAATGTTCTATTTGCCACGTTTCACATAATTCCATCACTATACAGCTTCACACTCCACAAGGCGGCTGCGGATTTACTTGACCAGCATGCCTGCAAACACGAGGGCCCTTCGCGGTGACTTCGCCCCTGTGCTGAGTTTCAGTGGCTGGCGCAGAGCGCCGCGCAGACACAGTCGGGGCAGACTTGGGGTGCCGAAAGGACAGTGCAGGCCTGCGCAGTTAGCTTTCTGACACAAGATTAAAATACAAACTACATGCTGTAAACACTTCTAAGAAAGCTGAATGCTCTCTGCTGAAACTCACTTCCCCAGGAAGCTACAGAGAGAAAGAACTCGGGGAGCCCAGCCCGCAGTAGCCTGAGGGAGCAGCCCAGTCCTCCGAGCAGCTTGAACCCTGCACAACCACGACTGAGCGCGGACTCTGAGGGCGATTCCACCTGCTGGCCCCCGCCCCCGCCCCACGTGGCAGCCGCGTCCAGGTGAGCTCCTGCGCTGGTCACGTGTATACAGCATATCAAAGTCCAAACAGCAAAACAAAAGCTTCGAAATCCCCATCTGGAATGATGACCATATGGACAGAAACTATCGGATAGTGAACTACCCATGTCAGGGATTCACATGAAAAACTACAGTATTTTTATACCTCAGAAAAGTTTTCACTTTAGGAAAAAGCCCTTTGACCCAAAAAGGAGGGTACTCTGCATGGGCACATACGGGATTCACACATGACTCCTCAATGTCGAGGTAGGTGACGCCTGAAAACCATCTCAACACCAACCCTGCCCGAGGAACTCCGCAGGGTAGAGCAGCCCCAGCTGCAAAAATGTTAGAAGCTGGTAAGTCCAAGTTTTATTACAATTACCATGAGGACAAATATTTTTGAAAGAAAGGTCACATCAAAATGCATTAAAATTAAAGCTATATCCAAAACGGGGACGATCCTCAGACACATACCATTCGGTCAAAGGCAAGTGCAGAAGAGCACGTGCAGTGCGGGCGACCGCTCCCGCCCGTCTCCCTGGTGTACGCCTCTGTCCACTGCTGCCCCGCAGCCGCCCTGACATGCTCAGCAGCGTCGCAGCTTGGACGGCAGGGCGCACAGTCATTCTAAACACGATGCAATTCTACAGAGCTCAAAGCGAAATAAAACTAATGACAGATACTCTATAAAAGTTTGTAATAAAATTCTTTAAAATTCCCCCAAGCAAAGCGAACGATCAGAAAACATTCGGAGAACATCTGAGGCGGGGGTTGGGGGGGTGCAGGGCTGCAGAGAACGCAGGGGCACACATGGGGATGCTCCACCGCTGGTGACCTCCAATCCCAACACTGGGGGTGTGCTCACGAGGCTTCACTGTTATGTTTCATAACTAGCATGCAACATATGTGCATATCTATGTTCATACACATATAAAACATCCCATAATAAACATCTTTTAAAAAATAAAAGGAATAGCCCAGATGGTGTGGCTCAGTGGTTGAGCATGCAACAAGAGGTTGTTAGTTCGATTCCTAGTCAGGGCACATGCCCAGGCTGTGGGCCAAATCCCCAGCAGGCATCATGGAGGAGGCGGCCAATCAACGTTCTCTCTCATCGATGTTTCTAGCTCTCTCTCCTTCTCCCTTCCTCTCTCTCTAAAATCAATAAAGAAAAGAAAATAAATAGCCTGGCCAGTGTGGCTCAGTGGATTGAGCATCGTCCCATGGACTGAGAGGTCCTGGTTCAATTCCCGATCAGGGCGCATGCCCGAGTTTCAGGCTTGATCCCCAGTTGGGGGCGTGCAGGAGGCAGCCGATCGATGTTTCTATCTCTCTCTCTCTAAAAGAAGAAGTCAAAAATTAATAAAAACATATTTAAAAAAGAAAATAAATACTTTTCTGACATAAGTTTAGGCAAATGTTCAAATTGAAGATATCAGAGTGGTGATTTTATTAATTGAGTGCTTCCAGTCATTAGTTGAGTATCTTTAGGAATTAGGACTCCCACATGCTTTGGTAAAAATTTACAAAGTTATGCTCCTAATACATGATCCCATCACTAGATTTTAAAATAGCAAAAAAAAAAAAGGTAATGGAATATATATTGCTATTGATGAACATTAGCTCTCTCTACTTCAGAGTGAAACAACAATTACTGAGACTGAATACCTGGAATACTTGCAGGAGAAATTGGGCCTGATCGTGACTGGTTGCTTCCTACAGGAGAGCCCACTGGAGACGGTGACGGGCCCCCAGGGATGCTGGAGAGATGGGGGGATGCGTGTGGAGAGAACGGTGACTGGGCCGGGTTGCTCTGATCCCCCTGGCTGCTTGTGGACCCAGATGCACTGACGGCAGAGCTCAGGGTTGCTTCCGTGCCCGTGGGGAGGTCATCAATGGAGCCAGACAGGTCCTGCGAAGAAAGAAATAGTATCTATTTATAGAGGAACACATATTGGACAATATCTGATCAAAACTATTTGAAAATCATAACAGCGTCCCTTCAGCAATAAAGTTTTTCTAGATAACACCCAAAATTCAGAGCACGGCCACTTGTTATTAGAAAACTTTAATGAAGTCTCTCATAAGTTGAACCATAAGATCTGATCTATCTCTAAGAAGTGAATAAAGTTGTACTCCATAAAACCATCCTACAAAAGTTTTGCTTTCAGCTGTCAGCCCCCAGTCCAACAACCCATTCAAAGAGCCTCGGGAAACAGCAGCGAGGTGAGACGTGCCATCTGCATGGAATGCCTGATTCTTAAAAGATCCCTTCCCCAACTGAAAACAGGCTTTGGATCCTTTTATTTAGATGTCAACATTGGAGGACGGTTTGGGTTTCAAACCAGGATATTCAAATATAATAGCAGTCAAAATTTTAACCAAACCCTGTGGTGAAAAATGATCACATTTTAAGCAATCGCATAAATGCCATTATAACAAAATAGTGATATTTTTATATGATATTGTGAAAATAAATCCCTCTGGAATTATGTTGGTAGAAATGAATCCTAATGGTATGCCTTACTTTTCAAAAAAATTATTTTTATTAATTTGTTTTTGTTACAGATGTCCCCCCCCCCCCCATTGACACTCTCCTCCCCATCCCTCCCGCCCCTTCCCCAGCTTTGCCGTCTGTGTCCACTGGTTATGCGCACATGCGTATAAGTTCTGTGGTTTCTCTCTTCCCCCTCAACATCCCCTCTATGCCTTACTTTTATAACAACTAGAAGCTGAACAATTTTTAATGCCATCTAATTTGTTCATAACACCCTCTAAGGTAGTTATTAAAATCCCCGTTTGACAGACACAGAAACTGAAGTTCAGAGCGTTTGTTATTGCCGAGAGCCACACCGCGGAGGACAGATGGCACTCACTGAAGACGATGGAGGGAGGACGAGAGAGCAGAAGGGAGGAAACTCCTCTGCACGCTCATCAGAATGAGCAGAGGGCAGAGACTTATTTTGGTCTTCCTCCCCGCTGTGGCACAGGGCCTAGCACAATGCCACCGCCAGCGGGTGCCCAGGGCCAGCCTGCCGCACGACTGGCCTCCCCTACACTGGGCCTGCAGCGCCGGTGGAGGCCGAGGGGCAGAGGTGCGGTAAGAAAGCTGTCTGGGTAACCCAGGACTGAACACTGAGGCACGCAATCAGAAACACAGAGCATCTTCGATCTGAACTGATTCCCTCCACCCATTCAATTTTATTAATGTTTAACTTTCCTCAGTGCTTACTACTGAAACTTCTATAACGAGGGCTTTGAAAACTAGTGGAGGAAGATGCTTGGAATTTGAAAAATGAATCTAGACCAGGAAGCACACCAAAGGGGCCACATACAGCAGAGCTGGTTACAGGGTCCCCAAAATGTCGCAAAGCAAACTCAGGACTGAGATCCTGGTTTCCTGGAAAGTCTATCTGTTAAGCATGTCCTACAATTAACTTCTCCTTTTCTAACACCAAAATTGCCAATGATTAAAAAATATATTCTAAAAAACAGGTGATGAAAATCACACACAGACACACACACATACACACAGAATGTTTCAGAAAAACAAAATTTTCTTGCACCGAGAATAACGTCTTTCTAGGTAAAATGGAAAGCAATTCAACTGTGCTTATGAATAAGAAATATAACGGTTATAAAGTAGATTGAAAATATCACTCTAGAAAAGATATCATTAAATCTTCAAAATAAAATGGGGGCAAATTGAATCATATCTTCAGAATTCAGAGAAAAAATATCCACATTTCTACTCAGGCCACATGATACGCATGATGTTGCACATACTTGGCTGGTAAGTCACCGCATTCACTTGATGACCAGAGAGCTGGACTCAGACTTTCCACTGCACACAACGTGGGAAGCGGGTGGAAGCGGAGGAAGGCTACAGAGCAAGGAGCATCTGCACACATGCAGACGGTGCTCAAGGCCCGCACTCGAAGCGGTGAGCTCAGCTCCTGGACACAGAACTTGAGCCAACAGAAGTGAGCGCGCACACAGACCGGCGCGCCAAGCGGGGGCAGGGCAGGATTGTGCCCACCTTGCCTACCCTCCTGCCCAGGCTGGACGGGGCTTCACTGGGCGGGGCCTCAGAGCTGGGGGTCCTGCCCCCACGCCACTCCCCTCTTATCCACATGGAACCGATTCGTTCATTGCACAGGGACACACCAGTGTGGCTTTTTAAAAATATGTTTTATTGACTTTTTGAGAGAGAGAGAGAGAGGAAACGTCAACGTGAGAGAGAAATATCAATGGGCTGCCTCCTGCACGCCTCCTACTGGGGATTGAGCCCAAAACCCGGGCATGTGCCCTGACCAGGAATCGAACCGGGACCTCTCAGTCCGTGGGAGGAAGCTCAATCCACTGAGCCACACTGGCCGGGCCAGGCCTGGCTATTTATTATTATTATTATTTTTTTTATCCTCACCCGAGGACATTTTTCCATTTTTTGTTCAGATAGAGCGGGGGAGAGAGAGAGAGAGAGAGAGAGAAACATCGATGTGAAGGGACACATCGAGTGGCTGTCACCCGCACGACCAACCAGGGCCGGGGACAAACTGCAACCGAGGTACATGCCCTTAGCGGGAACCGAACCCGGGTCTCTCCGGACCGCAGGCCGACGCTCTAACCGCTGAGCCAAGCCGGTGGCCTGGCTCTTTAAAGCAGGGCATTGCCATCTTTGGCCTGCAGGCTAAAAATCAGACCAGACCTGCATTTGATCCACCCGCAAGCCAAACATTTTTAAATGACTCAAAAAAAACCCCCCCAAAAATGAATTACTATTTTGTGATATATAAAAAAAATCTGAAATTGAAATTTTGGCATCCATTATGTTTTAGTGGAACATAGCCATGACCACTCCTCTGCCTGTGGCTGCTTTGGGCTGCAAGGGAGAGCAGAGTGACAGAGACCTGTGGCTAGCAGGCCTGAAAGGGCCACTCTCTGGCCCTCACACAGCAGGTCCGCAGAGCCCCGAGCTGAGAGCACCGGACTGTGGGGCAGTTTTTTTGTGTTTCAGAAAAAAACGATTGATAACTAGATATGAAATCATTCTCTTCGATTATACTAGATATGGAATTAAACAGAGAAAACTTAATATTTTAAAAAATCATTAGTCTCAATTAAAAAAAAATCATTACTTGAAGTTAAATAATTCTATGCAAATCTCTTCATAAAAAAACAAACTGCTGCTTTGCAATTTTTAAATTCTCTGCACGACCTATAAATTCCTTCCATGTCCTCCCTCAACATTCCACGCTACGGCTGGAAAAGTGACTCGGACGGGTGTCAGGACAGCGTCGTTCAAGCAGCAGAGCCATGGAAAACATTTCTGCTATTCAACACACTGATCAAGGAAATACCAAGAGAAACATAAAAACGGTGGCTTTCTTAGTGTTCACGTGTCATCAGAATTTCAGTGCTGACTAGACTCGGTGCAACAGAAGAGCAGTAAAAAGATATAATTTCTATATTACTGTTATACACACGCATAGCTTTTATATGTAAATTACAGAGAAATACTCCCGCCCTGCAGACACTTAGGGTATCCGTATGTACAGCTTATCTTACAACACGTTAATAAAAGAAGTTCAACAGCGGTTTAAACATTCAGCCTAGTTAACAAAGAAGCTCTGTAACTAATACTCCTCTGGAGGACAATTGAGTCAGCAGGGCACCAACTCCATTCTTCTTTTATAAGTACGATCAGATCTATGATGCCTGTAAAGAACAGAGAGGCTCGCTGCATCTCATTCTAACCGAGGCACCTTCAAGCTGCAGTGCTTCCATTCATCTTGCTGGGGAGCTGGCAGGTGAGGTAATTGCAGGGAGGACTCCTCCGAGGGGCTGGAGCCCCCGCCCCACCACGCTCCTTACATCCTTCCTCTTCAGTGCCGGAGTGATGGGAAGGCAGAGACTTCATGGGCTCAGGCGGAGTAAATTCAGTATTTTACCATGACAATCTGATTTGGCAGAACCTTGCTAATGAGTTGGGTTTTCAATATCTGAAATCGCTCAGATTACAAGATACTTTCCAGCACACCAAAAATAATCTATAACTCCTACTACTAATGGTTCATTTATTTTTAGAAAATCCATGTCTTAAAAAAGGTTGTTTTGCTCTAAAAATTTAATTTAAATGAAAGTTTTCTGCAAAGACCCACGCCCCCTCTGCCTGTGTAAAATTTTCATTCTAACCCAAGTGACAAGTACAAGAGATTTCACCGTGCTTAGAAGGAAATGCCACGGGAGAGTAACAAAAATCCTATCAGACTCTGACAAGAGAAACACTCAGGAATTAACAGAGAGCACAAAAATGTATGTTCCTGACTCGATACAGTGGGACAGGGTGGGCGTGGGGTGGGGGCAGAGGATGTATAAGGGAACATGCCACCAAGAAGGAGCAAAGAAAGAATTTTTAGAGATCTACACATATATAAAATAGACTTGTAGCATTAGATATAAATATTCTCTCGTGTCTACATGTTGTATATGATCCTCCCTAAAAATTTTACATTTATACATTATGACTCACTACCTCAAAAGACAGCTTTGGTTTTGATGGTTTTCAATTTATCTAATAAGTTAGCTTCTTATTAAAGTATAAAATCAGTCACTGCTGGGGATGTCTTACTGTCCTAAAGAACTGGGAATAAGAAAATTTTACTCCCTTGCTTAATTAAATAAGTGGGTTTTTAAAAAAGCAAATCGACTTCAAAATACTCTAAGCTATGGTCTAGTCGCTGACAGTGAGCAGCAGCTTCGCACACATTTGGGCATCTGCTCAGAGGTGCCCCGAGAGAGCAGGAGGATAAACACTGAATTAGAAACAGAGAAGATATTTCAATCAATGAGACCAGTTCAGGTCTCTTGTTTAAGGATTTTAATAGGATACAGTTAATGATTTCTCTTGTG